GTTATAACGCTTATCAATCGGAAAACTTCAGATATTTGACCAGTAGCACTTACAAATTTCTAGCATTACAAATCATTTAACTTTTTACCATCTCAAGTTAATTTAATTAACACCATAACTGTTTTCGTGTATATATTTTTGATAATATAAATAACAACTAGACAAATGTTGTGTCTGTCTTATCACAGCCGGCCTCTTGAGTCCTGGTATTGAGTAAAAGATCTTAGTCGACATTGGACATAGCAGATATAGTATGGTTAACATATTTTTATACAACGTTCTTTATTTTCATTCATAATTATTTAGATTTTGTTTTCAAATGATTTTGCTTTTCTGTGAAATAATAATCTGTTCTACGGCTATATTTCAGTCATAGAAAATTTTTGTAAAAGTTTAACATGGATGCCAAGTTTTAGTGTCGAAAAAGCTCGTTTATTTTTGTTAAGCGAAAAATGCACGTTGTGTTATCTGTGCCCTGCCCACTGCAAGGATTATCCCCCGAATTTTGGCATTATAATCTCTGAAGCTTACTGCTGAGACACCAGGAGGCAGGTAAAAGAAAACAAACTTGTTTGTAAACTAGAACAATATCTGGCACCAATAAGCTCTTAAAAACACTGAACATGAAGCGAATATATTTCCGTAGTTAAAGTTGATTTACCCTGTTAGGGTGGTTTAGGTTTTTCTTTGGCAGTAAACAAAATATATATGATTATTTTTTTTTGCAGTTTTTACTTAACACAAGTCTTCTTTAAAGTCAAAATTTAGCACTGCGATAATGTCAAAATCTGTTGCTCTAACTGTGTCAACATTTAGCACTCTTAACAATATAAAAATCTGGCATTCCAACAATTGACAACATATGTTATTAGATGGTTAATTTCTGAATTATAACTTTTAATGCGAACCCTAAATTCTAAGCGTTAGCACGTAAAATCAATTCTATAGATAAAATACATTCGGATAAAAACTCAAAGTTTAAAGAAGAAAAAAAAAGCAACAGAAATTAGTAAGTAAAGTTTTCGTTTCCGATCAACGTTTTCTTCGGGATCTTTATTTAGATTTTGTCAAAATGTTATAAGTTTACAATCAGCTATTTGCGGAGAATCGAACCCCGGACTTTAGCGTTATTAGTCCGTAAATTGAACGCTGACAAAACAGAAGACTCAATATTAAGATATTTGAAAATTTCGACAATCGACATTATTTTGGTTGCTATAAATACATGTTTGTTTTTTTTACATCTGGAACTGGAATGAGCGTTCCTAGTGATTAACATGCTGAACTGTGAATCCAAGTTGTCACAAAAAAGCGCTTTGCTATTTGGAACTGCAGGTACGTTATAAGACTGACAGTCAAATCCCATTATTCGAATTGGAGTTGCCAAGAGTATACACAGATGGTGCTGTTGACTAGCTGCTTTCCCTTATCTAAATAGCCCATGTTTAGCTTTTGGTGAGTTTCTGAAACAGCCAACCAAACTCTAGCAAAGTTTTACAACCCTAGAATTCGGGGCTCATTTCCCCGCGGTAGACTCAGCAGATACCACAAAGTGAATTTTCTCTAAAAACAAACAAAATGAAATTTACTCATAAGCATTATTATTTCTTCCATTTAGATTGCAAATTATGGAATTGGTGGTCATTATGTACCACATCAAGATTTTATACAGAGTATAAAAGACAATCTTTTCCAGGTGAGGAATTAGTTTCAAATAATTACTTAGTTCGTGTTAGGACATTATCAATACGTTTACTACTGACAACTGACAGGAATTCGTACTAGCTGTGTTCTCGTTAGTATAGAGAAATTTTACTTAGAATTTTCTGGAAAGAAGTCTCTGCACTCGGATTGGGATAATCATTTCGGCGCGACTTTATTGGTGATTTTTCTGGAAAGTAGTCTGCAGTCGAATTGGGATAAATATTTCGGTGCGACTTTATTGGTGATTTTTCTGGAAAGTAGTCTCTGCAGTCGGATTGGGATAATTATTTCGGTGCGACTTTATTGGTGATTTTTCTGGAAAGTAGTCTCTGCAGTCGGATTGGGATAATTATTTCGGTGCGACTTTATTGGTGATTTTTGTGGAAAGTAGTCTGCAGTCGAATTGGGATAATTATTCAGGTGTGACTTTATTGAGGATTTTCTGTAAAGAAGTTAGTAATCGAACTTGAATAGTTTTTCCGGTGTGACTTTATTGACGATTTTCTGGAGAGTAGTGTGTAATCAAATTGGGGTAGTTGTTCCCGTATGATTTTATTAAATGTTTTTCTGAAAAGGGGTTTTCAATCGAATTGGAATAATTGTTCTTGCTTGACTTTATTGAAAATGGTTTTGGAAAGTAATCTGTAACAAAATCCGAATTGTTGTTCTGGTGTGACTTTATTGAAAATTTTTGCTGGAGTAGTCTGAATCGAATTGGGATAGTCGTTTCGTTGTGACTTTATTGAAAATTTTTGCTGGAGTAGTCTATAATAGAATTGTAATAGTTAATCCGGCGTGACATTATTGAAAATTTTTCTGGAGCAGTCTGAATCGAATTGGGATAGTCGTTTCGTTGTGACTTTATTGCGCGTAATTTGTAAAGTTATGGATTTTTTTGTTCGAAATATAAAGAAAATATTTGTCTTCAAAATGTGAAACTAAGAAAATAGATATATTAAAATTTGGATTCAAAGACTGCAGTTCTACTTTAAGCAAAACACCAATATGTTTAAGTATTTAGCCTAGACGAATGGACAGAACCCTACCCTTTCGAGGGAGAAGATCCAGGCTCGAATCCCGACGACTACTACCAGAGAAATAGTCCTTCTCAGGACTTCCCAGAAGACAGCAGCAGATTAACAGCCGAAACGTAGGATAAAAATTAGTTAATAATTAGAATCTAGTAACTAAAAGTCATTAGTTATTAACTAGTGATAATATTGAGGTGTTTGTATAGGATGCTAATCATGACAATGACCAATATAGTTAGCGTTTAGAACACGTAGAATTACCAACACACTTATGTGACTTGTTTGTTACAGAGAAAAAATATTATGCCTAAGTTTCTTAAAAAATGTAATTGTTAGCTGATACAGAAACGGTGCCTTTTATAGATTAAATATAGATTCAAGTTAGTGTTCGGTACATTTTGCTAAATTTTTTTTCGTTATGGTAAAAGTAAATACAACAAAGTTTTTTTGTTTTTTTTTAACACTGTAAGCTCACTTGCATGGAATCAAAATATATCTTTTCCACAGACCCATTGTTTAGTTCCATATTTTTGTAGTTGTTGTTTTGGTCTCATATTTATGATCCTGTTTATATTAGTTAAAAAAAACGTCCCAGTAACTCCCACAATACACCAATTTCACCGTTTCCAAAGTATGAATGTGCTGAAAAGTATATCATGATTTGACAAACAGTTTAGGTTACTACTTAGAATAACTCTTGTGTTATCCCTGAAAGAAGAAGTAGTGAACAACACTAAAGTAACGCAGATTTCTGTCGCCAAGCTGTGATTTTCGGAATTTTTACAGTAAGTTTTCAGATCTCGGAAATTTTACTCTAAAAGTAAGAAAGCTTATCAGTTAGAAAGAGTTCGTAGAGATAAATTGTTTTGTAGCATCAGTCCGAAAGTTCTTGCAACAATGAGGTAGTTTCGAAGTAACAATCAAGATGATGTTGTTGTTGTCAGATTCTAAACTTTATACTCACCCGCTGATGTATTTAAGTAGTTGGTAGGAGACAAATCGTGTAGTTGCAGAAACACTGCCAAACCTTTACCCTTCGTTTGCGGCTTGTGTAAATCTGCCTACCACCCTATGCGCAAAGATTCACGAATTTCTGCGGCGGGCCATTCAAAATGTTGCGCGTAAAATCTTTGCATCATATGATGTCAACCGCAGTTGCCTACGCTAACATCGTATAATGTCAACCGCAGGTGAAGGGTTAAATGGCAGTATGATAAACTTTTTTTGTGAGATAGCTTTCAGCATTTAACTTAGCATGTTACCGGTTTGACATGTGTAACCACAAAACATTTATTCAAGGCTTAATGTATGTTGTTAATGAGTGCTATAGTTTGTATTTTCGTGTTAATATTAACTGAACAGCAACTATAGCGTTCTCTCGGATAGAAAATAGCGATTCTTTTTTTTTACTTTTTATTTGTGTTTACGAAGAAAGATTGTTATCGTGAAATTCAGACAAGTAAATCAATTAGTCTTTCAGTAAACTGGATTAGCAAGTGGATTACTAGCTCTGCACATGAAAAAATCAATTTACTCATAAGTTGTTTTTACTTTTCTTTTAGATTTATGTTTTTATAAAATAAACGCGTTTTTATTTTTCAGCTTGATGACTTTGAAGCACGTGCTGGAGACAGAATAGCAACGTGGATGTTCTACGTAAGTGACTCAAACACTACTGGAACTTTACGATACACTTCAAGTAACCAATACGAGGTCATGGCTGTTTACTATGAATCAGAGTGAATATAAAAAATATTGAGGCCAAAATAGTACCTCTTCAAATATCATGAATAACAGACTCGTGTGATCAGTTAAAAAGATCCTTCTTTAAAACTCACTCATGTGAAACCCAACAGTTTATCTTTCTCTGAAATTGATAAGAAGGCCTAAAGAGAACAAAATGGCTTCTCTGAAAAAACGAAATAATTACTGCCAGAAACGAATGTTTTTGTTTTTCGTTTTACTAAATCTCAATTTAAACAAATTTAAATTATTTGATTTAATTTTAAATTATTTACAGGGTACAAGTGCTAATAAAAAAGTATTAATTAAAAAGAAAAAATCTTATTTAATTTAAAAGTTAGAAAATAATAACAATTTCACTTTTAGTTATCGGATGTGGAGGCTGGGGGCGCTACAGTATTTCCTTATGTTGGAGCGGTGGTGAGGCCAAAGAAGGTAATAAATGTTGTTTATGTTTGCAGTAACATAATGGAAACAGATAAATATATTTAAAAACCAAATTGATTTCCATATATTTGTATGATTTTTCTTATGTTTATGGTGAGTCACAGCAACTCTTTAACCTTATCTATTTTTAATCCATTTAAGTATCTTTCTTAAAGTATTGCACGGACTTAGTGACCAGTACAAAATTTTCGATTAAGAAATATATTTCAAATTTTAGTTAAAACTTTTTAGATTTTTTTTATATACACTTAGCATCTCATTTCTTTACGATGTTGATAATGAGTTAGTTCAGCCAAATTTTGGCAGCAGTAAACTGACGAGAAAGTTAAGGTTATAGCTTAATATACACTAAGGAACAGATGTCGCTGAAGTATCTTTATTTTTGATTCTTTACAGGGCTCTGCTGTTTTCTGGTGGAACTTGAAAAGAAATGGCGAAGGTGATGCTATGACATATCATGGAGCGTGCCCAGTTTTACGAGGGTCTAAGTGGGGTTAGTGTTACTCAACTTTTTTAACACCATTTTTGTAAGTTTGAATTAAACCATAGAATATGTCACATCTTTCATCCCGGCAGCTGATCGTTAAATCATTGCAAACTCTACATGTTAGAATTATACAATTGAGTGATTATTCAACAAAAATTATTAAGTTATAAAAGTCGGTATTTAATAATTATAGGCTAACTAGACACAAACATATTTCTATTTTGCTAGCTAGTCTTTAGTTATATTTGGTTCCTGAGGAATTTAGTCTATTATTGTTTGTTTGTTTGGTTGTTTTTGGAGTTTTACGTAAAGCTACTCGAGTGCTATGTACTCGAACAGTCCCTATTTTTGAAATATAGATTAGGAGGTAGGTAAGTAGTCAATACTATCTGCCATCAACTTTTGGGCTACACCCTCATCAACAAAAAGTTGGATTGACCGTCACTTTACAACGCCCTCACAGCTGAAAGGACAGCGAGGATGTTTGGTGACGGGATTCGAACTCGCGACCCGCAGATTGCGAGTCGAGTACACTAACCATCAGACCGTGCCAGGCTGACATCTTATTGGACCTTGAAGATTGGAGCATTTGTTCACTATAAGCCCCCAAGTGGCACAGCGGTACGTCTGCGGACTTACAACCCTAGAAACCGGGTTTTGATACCCATGGTGGGCAGAGCACAGATAGCACATTGTGTAGCTTTGTGATTAATAACAAGCAAACAAACACTTAATATAATAAGAAATATCCTTCTAGTTACCAGTAGTGATAGAAATGGATATTGTTGTTTTTACTTTTAAATTTGCATGCATGCGCATATGTACGAGAAAAGAAAACATTCAAAATTTATGGAATTCGAAATAAAATGTTTAAAATTGTTTTGTTTTTTAATGTAATTTGTGCATTTGCTTTTTAATTTCCATCATAGATAATAAATTAATTTTTCGAGAACATTTCGTATATGACAGAGAACGGCTTAGCGTTATCTTTTACATTTCGGATTATTCCAACATTCACAGTTTATGAGAATAATAAGTTTTGATCTAATTTTCAAAGTGCTTAAAAGCGAATTCAAAATATTTTCGGAATTTAATCCAGTATCAAACTTTTGAAATTAGGCTACATTTATTAAGTTATGTTTCACTATCACTACCATTCCAGTCAGATAAAATGTATATCATTTAATTTTTGCTAAGTTACTCTTTAACCAGAAATAGATGTAATTTCTCCTGAACTTGTCGATAAATGTCTGTTCAGTGGTCATTATTAGTCCACTTCTGTACTTATTATTTCAGTGAGCAACAAGTGGTTCAGGGTGAATGCCCAGATGTTCCGGAAGCCATGTAGTCTGAATGAAGATACTTACTTCACGGATCTGTAAAACTTTGTGATACTCAAATGGAGAGAAAGAGAGGCGTTTGAAACCACAGAAGAAAAGTAATATTTTGAATTATATGTTGCAGTAAGACTCTTCAGCTTCGAACAGTTACTGTTAATAACTGAAACAAGTACAAAACGAGAAGCATGTAATAAATGTCTTTGGAAATAACCTTATTTGTTTAAATCTGCAGCTTTGGTGCGCTACAAAACTACAGTGGACTATCTGTGTTGTGCGAACCCTCGAGACTACGTGCAATGAGTGAGGCAAAGTTTATAGAACCAGTATAATATGCTTTCACCATGCAAGGGTACTTTATACTATCTGAATCAATAAGGAATAAGTAATAAAAAAGTTCATTTGATGATTTACCAGTTTTGGTGAGAAGCGCGAGTCTTGTTAATTCAGATGTGTCATGTATGCAGATTTTCTGTTCTTTTGCTACCCGTGATCAAAGAAGAAAGATAAGATTTAAAATTTACAACACAAATCTTAATATCAAGTTTAAAGTCTATGGTGTATTAAACACCCTCCACCCGATATTTAGTATTGCACTGTTCTACATAAACACGTGAATATGCTGATCATTTTTCTGATCACGTTTGCACCAAGTTACAAAATATACACTGACTAGGAAAGAAAAAAATATGTAAGCATTACAAAACAAATACTCGGTATTGCACTTGTTCAAAATAAACCCAATAGATTTCTGATTTTTGATCATTTATTTTATTTTGAAACTTGTTTAATTGTGACATCGCAATTGCCAAAAAAGTCAAATACGAAAGAATGTCGTTGGTGTTTTTTGTTAAGTGTAAACTTGTACAACGGTCAACCCTGTAATGTGTCAACCGCAGGGATTGAACTACGAGCTTTAGCGTTAGGAGTTGTGAAACTTACCGTTTGGCCGGTAGAGGTGGGAGGCTTAATAAAGCTTTTGTGCAAGATCTACAAACCCACGCATCACACCCACTAGAATCAGTAGCTTAGCACCATGATTTATGCTATCTTCAATATGTTGTAAGTGAGTTAGAGGTTTCAATAGGGGCTCTGCTGCAAATAAAATACATAACAATACTTACTTTAGAAAATTCCTAACGTGACACGCCTATATTATTAGACAGCATTAAAATAATTAAAACAAATACATGCATACATTTAAAACACCAATAAATAAATACGTGGCTTCTACCAGGCAGATAATGTCGTGGTTAAGTGTTATTCGTCTACGTTGGATTCGCCGATTAAATTACGATCTTACAAGAAACAGTTTAGCCAATCTCATTCCATCTACCAATTTTCTGTTTTAACAGTTAAGCCACTGTTCATCATAGTTTAGGCCACCTAGTTTCAAAACATAAACCCTGCTTTATTCACAGTTTAGCCCACCTGTAAGCCCTGTTATATTCCGCAAGTTATCTTGTTTTAATACTAAGCCTATATTTATTCATTTCTAGTCATTTAAACAATCAAAATTGAGCCATTATCCTCACAACGCTTTAACACATGTTTTTCAAGTGCTTGATCCTTTGTCTTTGCAATACTTAAAACTCTGTTCTTTAACGGTTTAACCGTTACCTTTTTAATAGTTAAAACCATGTTTATGCAATTTTCAGCTCTTTCAACAGTTAGATGATTTTTTAACATTTAATTTATATCCTTTCAATACTATAACACCTGCCCCCTCTAACTGTGTCCCCCGGTGGGACAGCGGTAACGCTAAAATCTGGTGGTCAATTCCTCGCTGTGGACACAGTGTGATTTTGCTATAAGATAAACAAAGAAACCCTCCAGTTGTAAAACTTTTAATTCGTCAACGCTTTAATTGTTATCAACTTCAAAAGCTCCCATTTACAACTTTTGGCTTCTACTATGAATTTATTTTGAAATATCCTATTCCTAGTCAAGGGAATGAGCAAAATACAAATAAATAAATCCTGCTTTCTTCGATGTGCTTGGGGGCAATGATGTATCTTCTTCAGAGAAGATCAGAAGAACTGTTTAGGCACACCAGAGTAAAAATAGCTAATTTAACGGAGTGTGCTCAAGAAGTAATGAGATTATAACAGAAAGAAACCAAATAATAAGACAGTTAACTATCTTTAAACAATACCTTACAAGACCCGTTGAATTACTTTTGTATCAACAAAGTATAACCTATGATGTTATTCACTCTATGAGGTTTATTTGAACGGTCTGCCTCTTCAGTATTTTTATGGATGTTTTTGTCTCCACATTTACCTATGATGTATATACAGAAAGAGACAAAATACTCAGTCAGGTATTAGAAAATAAAGAAACCCGACTAAATGCGTTGACTTGAAACCAATGTATCCTAGAATTTACGAAGGAAACGGGAAACGAAGCGTGAGCTCCAGTTGACGACTCATGTTCTGGATTTAAAAACTAAAACGAGAAGACAGTATAAGAAATTAATAGGCTGAACGATACGTATTGAATTATTGCGAATATGTATTGGATTTTTAATCAGAGTTTACATTTACCATAATATATGTTGGATTTTTAATCAGAGTTTACATTTAACATAATATATGTTGGATTTTTAATCAGAGTTTACATTTAACATAATATATGTTGGATTTTTAATCAGAGTTTACATTTAACATAATATATGTTGGATTTTTAAGTAGAGCTTATACTTATCATAATATATATCTCGTATATTCTGGACTATTAAGCAGAGTTTATATTTGTTATAATGTATATAATAATAGATGAGCACCTAGGTATTGAATAACACATTTTTATTAACAAGACCAAGTTATTACATTCGGCTGAATTTTACAATAATGAAACGATAATACAGTTTACAATTTTCACAAAACACTGAACTAACCAAAAAATATTTTTTTATCATATGTATCTAACATAATAAAATTTTTTCTTGCTACACCAAAATTATGGATTTTGGTGAGAAAGAAACACAGAGCCCAGGATATCGTTTGATCCACCTCTTGTCACTTACTTAGACCATTTCGATTTCCTGTTGTCCAGGGATACTGATGAAGAGCAAGATTCCCATAAATTTATCTAACTCGGTGACATCTCTTGTCACTTACTTAGATCGTATCGATTTGGTCTTGTCCAGGGTTACTGACGAAGAGTAGGATTCCCATAATCTGGTCTAACAACAATTGAATCGAATGACAAACTGGACTTCACGTTTCTTTATTCTTTATAGAATAAAAGATACATAACTGGCACAGTAATGTTACATATGCATCAAATACCTAAATAAATATCAGTTTACCGTGTTTTATAAAAATCAACTTAGTCATCGTTACGTGGAAATGTAGAAATTATAGAAGTTATGACGTAAGAGCAGTTTAATTTCTAAATATTTTCCTTTAACTTTTAGTTTCCAGCCAGTAACGAAATGTTTTATTTGAACGTATACACTCATTGATAAAGAGTATGTTTCAACGCAAATTAAACAAAAAAGAAAACAAGATAATATATACCATTCCCAACACTAGATGGCAGGACAGCTAGTTTTCACATTCTTCACTTGTGTCCTTGGGGAAAATATCAAAAGAGAATAAGATTCGAATTGTAAATTATAAATTACTATAATAAAAAGAAAAAGGAAAACGTAGAACACTGTGCAAGCTACATTTGTTCTAGAGATTAAAAGTTGTGTGGAAACTGTTGACAGGAAAACTTGAAATGATCGACTTATGGTATTCTTCTGAGGTAAATACCACTTTGACACGTAAAGTAATGAATAGAAAGTCAATTAATAAAAAAGTTTATTTACCTTGAATGAAGCAAATTAAACACATGCTAAGTATCTATTCACGCACTAAAAACAACTAATATCCAAGAGGCGCTTTAAGTAATATTTTATTAGTTGGTTGAAAGTATTGTTAAAATGAAAAAATTTTCTTGGTTCTCCCTACTCACCCCCCCTCCACAAAAATATTAATGACAATGATGCTATTATAAATTAAAATTTAGATGTTTGTTTGCTAGAGGGAGCGTGTTTAGAAAGTTTGTGCAGTAAATATAAAAAAGAGAATGATCTAAATGAGAATGAGTGAGTGAATCAGAGAGTGAATTATTTCAGTGCCAGTCAGTGGGTAATTCAGTTCTGTGATTCTGTTAATATGCTTAAAGTGAGATTGCGTGTAAATCGTATAAGTAGGTTAGTCTCAAAATTTCTGTTTAAACATTGTTTGTGAAGCTAGGCCTACCACTGAAGATTTCTGATAACAAACGTTATTAAAGAAATAAGTTAATTTGTTATCGTCCCATGGAGTGTTATCAAATAATCCAAAAGAACCCGCCCAACGAGAGAACACGTTACAACAATACTTCCTTCACTTATTAGATGATATTTAGTGACGTTTCGGCTTTGGGCTCACTTCAGGTAATGATTAAGAGACAAATAACTTTTACATTATTAGATGATATTTAGTGACGTTTCGGCTTTAGGCTCACTTCAGGTAATCATTAAGAGACAAATAACTTTTACATTATTAGATGATATTTAGTGGCGTTTCGGCTTTAGGCTCACTTCTGGTAATCATTAAGAGACAAATAACTTTTACATTATTAGATGATATTTAGTGACGTTTCGGCTTTAGGCTCACTTCAGGTAATCATTAAGAGACAAATAACTTTTACATTATTAGATGATATTTAGTGACGTTTCGGCTTTAGGCTCACTTCTGGTAATCATTAAGAGATAAATAACTTTTACATTATTAGATGATATTTAGTGACGTTTCGGCTTTAGGCTCACTTCAGATAATCATTAAGAGACAAATAACTTTTACATTATTAGATGATATTTAGTGACGTTTCGGCTTTAGGCTCACTTCAGGTAATGATTAAGAGAGAAATAGCTTTTGCATTGTTAGATGATATTTAGTGACGTTTCGGCTTTAGGCTCACTTCAGGTAATGATTAAGAGACAAATAGCTTTTGCATTGTTAGATGATATTTAGTGACGTTTTGGCTTTAGGCTCAAATTAGGTAATGATCAAGAGACAAATAACTGAATCAGGCCTAAGGTCGAAACATCTCGAAGTAAGATCTAACAATGTGAGAAGGACGAAGACAACGTTTAATTTTATTTATTTTTTTGTAGCTACGATCGTGTGTTTAAGATTATTAGTTTATTTTATTAATATGAATTATATTTTAAAAAGAACACTGTTATTTACGTAATGGTTGAAAGCAATTCATACTGTTCTGATTAAGAAGAGTGGATATATTGATTTGAACAAGTTCACAACATAGAAAGTTTCGTCAGTTTTTAGACTGTGTGTTAATATTGATTTCTGCTCTATTTGTACCAACAGCGTTTTAGCATAGGAACCTTTAAGGGTTAGTTACTCCAATCTAGGAAATTGAAGAACGATCTCGCTGGGAAATGTTTGGGTTTTTGGCAATATTGACCATAAATGTATACAATTCCCCTCAGGTAGAGACCCTTATCTTCTTTATAACTTCGTTTTCAGCACAGGCACCATCTGTGTGAGTGTTCGTCGAGATAGAATGTTTACAAGTAGTTTGACATTAATTCTAGACATATAGTCATATCACACGGAGGAAATCACTCTGAGAAACGCCGTTAGTAACTACATAAGTGTTTTTCTTTCTTATTTTATTCGGCAAAGTACACTTAGTTTACCAACTGCATCAAATTTAATACAGTTGTTATTCTACTTCTGTATCCAGGGCAATG